TCTCAGTCTGCTGTGGGGCAGGATGGGCCCAGCAGACACTGGTTATGTTTCTTAGCTCAGCTTGCTGGTTTCTACCTGTAAAGCCCAGGTGAAAATGACTCCTGATGCTCCTTGTGCAAATACAGTGACTGTGCTGAACAAACAGGAGAAAGCAAACATGTTCTTCAGCACATGTTCAAACTTTGGATGCATTTTGGAAACTGCCATGCGTTTGTCCAATTTACTATTGCAAAGTAACCAGACTGCCTTGGTTTGATAGGAAACTCTATTCTGTTGCAATTTCTAAGAATTGTTGCAAATAATAATTGTAACATAGCTTAGCAGAAACACAAAATGCTAAATGTTTGTTCTTTTTTCTGTTTGTGCTATGGCCAGTAACAGAAAGATTCAAATAAAAGCCTTCAGAGTTTCCTCATACCTCAGTGGTTAAATCATAAGCTCCTATAGAAATATTTTCTTTTCCTTGTCTTGTGGTGAAAAGTGTAATAATGTGGTACATTTTGAAATGCGCTAAGGGTTTTCTCAGTAATGCACCCAATTTACTGATCCTTTTGAAATAACTAGATTTACATACTGTATATATTTAAATCAAGGTCATGCATTAAATATTACTTCTTCTAAGTCTAAAAAGCCATTGTGTTTTGTTTTACAGAATCTTGTTATACAGAATCTCAGTGTGGCTTGTATTTCTCTTTAAAATAAGCCAAGGATAAAGAAAGCCCAAAAGCAGACATTATCTACTATGTATAATACGAGTATAATTCAATATCACTCCTGATGTTTGTGGATTTATATTCGTTCACTGTTACTGTGAAGGGAGCATGATCCAAACTACGAGCTAGATGGGTCTACTGGTGATATTGACTAGTGGTCATATAGACTACTGTATGCACACACAGACGGAATAAACTGTTAAAGTGAAATATGAGATTCAATCAACAAACAACAGATATGACAGACATTGAAAACAGAGGAGTTTGTAATCCATATTTCTCAGCTACTTTACAACAGCATTCTGCACCCTTGTCAGCATGCCAGCCCATCAGAACTGTAGTTTTAAATTTTGGCAACTGATGTCCTCTTATAATAATAATTGCTAACACTTCTATAGCGCTTTTCTGGACACTTCACTCAACGCACTTTACAGGTAATGGAGCCCCTCCACCACCACCAGTGTGTATCCCCCACCTGGATGATGCACCAGTCCGCTCCCCACACACCAGCTCTCAGTGGAGAGGAGAGCAGAGTGATGAAGCCAGTTCAGAGACGGGGGTTATTAGGAGGCCATGATTGGTAAAGGCCAGAGGGAAACTTGGGCAGGACGCCGGGGTAACACCCCTACTCTTTTTCAAGAAACGCCCTGGGATTTTTAATGACCACAGAGAGTCAGGACCTTGGTTTTACGTCTCATCCGAAGAGACTTTTTACAGTATAGTGACGGGGACACTATATTAGGAGCCACATGGACCACAGGGTGAGCGCCCCCTGCTGACCCCACTAACACCTCTCCCAGCACCAGCCTCAGCTTTCCCAGGAGTCTCCCATCCAGGTACTGACAAGGCTCACAGCTGCTGAGAGCTGCAGGGTGATATGGCTGCTGGCATTATCTTAATAAAAGGAGCAATTTCTTTTTAAAAGCCTTTGTGTGTTAGTATAGAGTGTGAGTTACTTTGCCAAATCTGTCAAAAACCTGCTAAAATAAAAGTGTCTAATTTCCTCCACAGCCAGGTAAAGCTGTTTTTTCACAAACATGATTGACTGTGTACAAACACATTTCCATTGGTGTCCTAGTTAGGTTCTTGTCACAGTTCAAGTACAACAGCATATTGCTTACCTGCTTGTTTCTTTGCCAGGTGAAATTTCTCCCAGACAAGAGACATTCCTGGTCACATCTCCTTCATCACTGCTGTCTTTCCGTTCAAGAGGGAAACTGACAACAACAAGGACATCTTTAACGTAAGGAATTATATTTCCATTTCCCTTCATTTGGAATAAACTCTTAGGAATGTACTTACTAATGTAAATTTACTGTGTCCGAAACTCCCACCCTCATTGTCTGACCCTCATTGTCTGAGAGGGGACTGCATGTACATCTGGATTGACAAGCACTCTCAACATTGTTCTTACAGTGAACAAAAACACCCATCAAATGAATTTTGTTCTTGAGTTCAAAAGGCGAAGTCGAACATTTACAGTTCTGCATGCCAACATAAATGTGCTTTATTCAATTTGGTGTGACGAAAATGTTGAAGATCTGGTGGATTGTAGCTGAAACTCATAAGAACATTAGGTTACAAACAGGATACCTTTTGGCCCGTTTAATAATAGCTAACTGATGCAGGGATCTCATCCAGCCATTTCATTAAAGAAGCCAGGGTATCAGCTTCAACAGTATAACTGGGTGACCTGTTCCATACTCCGACAACCTTTTGTGTAAAGAAGTACCCCTGCTTTTCTTCTGGGATTCTGCAGAAGTCCACTGACGTTGGCCTACACCTCCAGGTCACCTTCTGTTTTTCTGTGTTCGGGGTAAAAAAAGGGCTCAGTCCTTTGGCCTATCAGGACAGACAAAGTGAGTGTGGGATGAGCATGTAGCGATTTGCTGGGCTTGCATTTCATTTTTCTTCCACTGCTTTCACAGGTCTGTCAATTTATCCAATATCTGAATTTGGCAAAAATGTGTTTGATGGCCTTAATTAATCCATAACGTATGGTCTACAACGTGGGGTGAAACAGATTGATACAAGACCTGTTTTGGGTAGAAAAGAGCTGCAGAGCAGCTGCAGAAGGGATATGGAATTTTCTATGTTTTAAGGTATTAATTGCTTAAAGAAGTAGAAAACTAATTTCAAATGCTACTTATAAATAGAACAGGCTTGAGTAGACTTGCTTCAGAACTAAAATATTTATCTTCCGTAATATTTGATTGTCATGTGCTCTGCTAAACAAGTGGCAGGCAGCCGACATTCGGATTCCTCTGATTTGTGTGAATGAATTCCTGGTCCTAAGAACACCAATGTCCTGTTCTAACCAATCAGGAGCTTACTTTTCTCATTTGGGATGACTCTTTTTTATTTTCCATGTCAATTCTGAGTGTACTTAGAACAGTAACCAATACTTGAATAGATAGATGGAACTATAAGTCTTTAAAAGCTCACATCAATTTAAAAAGTATTTAGGTTTTGGGTTTGCTTAACTACACTGTAAATGGATGATAGGCACTGTTACACCATTTAAAGTATTAAAAGCTATGTTCTACAAAGGTTAGGGTATTGTTTAGATCATTCTCAGGATTAGGGTTTTCTTACTAACATGCAACTAGTATACAGTAGTGGTTGTTTGTTTTTCATTTATGATACTTTATAAATGCATTTTGTTTTGTTAATGTGTGTTTTTACCATTTATAAGACATTTAGAAATGGCATTTGTAGCCTTGTATTCTAAAGGTGTGACCAAAGTGGCTAATCAATTATTTCCATTAAAGAATTAATGAACTAGAAGCTTCTCGATAATGGAATCGGGACACCTAAACTTGAAAACTACATGCCAGCCTGGGTTTGTGTAGGGGAGTGCTTCCTCAAGACCGCTGTCTGTCTGACTTGCTGACCACCATGCTAAGGGAGCTGAAGTCATTACCTGGAAAAGTCTGCTTCCCCCAGCTGTTTAAAAAACATCAGATACACAGCAGATTGGTAGACCCAGCTCTTGGACAGATACAAGCTGACGTCTCAAGTCAGTAAGATTATACTGTGGGATCAAAGACAATTGCAGTAGTTACAGGAGAGCCAGCACCAGCTGGAGGAAAGAAGCGTCTCTTACTACAGCAGTGTGAGCTCCCAGATGCCCTGGCAAGACCGCGAGATAACTCTCGCATTGCCAGACAAAGACACCCGCTGTTTGGGGAATCAGATTGGACTGATAACAGAGAGACCAGGCTCCAGGGGACAATGTCATCACTGCGTGCCTGGAGAAAGCACTTCTGCTTTCTGAGACAAACTGAAATCTGCCACTTTCTGGGGGAATTGGGATTGGTTGAAAGAGTCCATCACTTCGCTTACAGATGACAGAATTACTTTGCAAGAAGACAGGTGTT